ACAATTTTTCGATTTAAAATTAAAAACAGTTTTTATTTCTTAATGTTTTTGCCAAACATCATATGAAATTTGCAAACGCAGCTAAATTTGTTTATATTTCACATTTGTGTTTATAATTTCCACATCTGTTTTATTAATGCAGCAAACTTTTACCATATATTGTTGTTGTTGGGCTCAAGGGTTCTTTATCATTGGTTTTGCAGTATAGTCTTCCTTCAGACACTTCAATGAACTACATGGATAACTACATGCAGCTTCCAGAAGACTCTGTGCCCTGCAAAATCCGGGCCAAACGCGGCTGCGCCACCCATCCGAGAAGCATCGCCGAGCGGGTCAGTTCAATGAACTCTTTCCTTTTATTACAAAGTTAGCAATGGAAAATTATAATTTGTCGCTAATGTATCTCAAAATTTAGTATAGTAATAAACAACTACTGAAAAAATTATGTTTTGCCCTCCTATTTTGCAATCTGTTTTTATATACTTATGATATATATAGGAGAGGAGAACGAGAATTAGCGGGAAACTAAAGAAGCTACAAGATCTTGTACCCAACATGGATAAGGTACTTTTGATCAGATCAAATTTAGTTAGTATATATAGTAACATTATTAAACAACTTAGACAATATTACTTTTTAATGATGTTATTAGCAAACAAGCTATTCAGACATGCTGGATTTAGCTGTACAGCACATCAAAGGCCTTCAACACCAGCTTCAGGTTCCCTACAAAACTATTAATCATCTTGTTTTTCTATTTTACACCATCTGAATCCATTTTTTTAGATTTCTCTCTAATATTTCATTTAATATATCTACACACATTTTCATCAAACACAGAATTTAAAAAAAGAACAAGAGAATTGCACGTGTGGATGCAGTGAGAGACCAAGCTAGCTGCAACCCTCACGGTAGGGATCATCCTAATCCTATTTTTGTTGTTCCGATTTTATTAGAAGCCATTTGAAAATGTAAGGGAAATAGAGAAGATGTAAATAAATAGATTATCAAATGCCTAATTCTCTTACAAGCTTCTTAATTTTTCGTTGTCATTATAATATACTAGAACATATTATCACAATTGTCCATTATGTTTTTTTTTCCAAGTGTTATTTATCTCCTGAATATTGTTTATTTTGGAAGGAATTTGTTATGAATTTTGAAACTGTAGTTTGAGTTATGACGTTTGAGCAAAGCAACTAGCTATTTGGTATTTTATTTCTCTCTTCCTTTTTCTTTATTTTTACATTTTCATAAAGTAATACATGATTTAACAGAAGATTGAAAGCCTGCCATTGATACCAAATTTGTTATCGAAAACAAAATTTAAATAAATTAAAGTTTGCAATGAAAATATACTTCAATTTGTTTAAATTTTGTTTTCGATAACAAATTTGGTATCAATCGCAAGCTTTCAATTTCCTGTTATATCAATCGCAGGCTTTAGGCGCTAGGCCTCATACGAGCGTCCGATTAAACCAACTCCAACAAAGCCCAATTGATTTATGGGTATGTGAAAGAGAAATTGGGTTCAATAACTATAAAAAAAAATTATAACCTACTAAATAACCAAATCCTTTAAATCCAATGATCACAAAATTGCCACATATGCCATTTTTATTAGATTTTGAATTATAAATTTTTTTTTGGTTATTTACCAAATTGACTCTATGTGAAATGGATCAATGATTATTAAAGAATAACAATGTTAAAAAAAAAAACAGAAACTTATAAAGTCCCACATCGACAAAGTGAAGAAGGGTGCAATCACAAACTTATCTATAAATAATAACACATTTCCCATCGAGTAATATGTAAGTGGGCTTTCGATAGAGAGCCCAATACTTATCAAAAAGTTGAGAATTTAGTGATAATCGGGTTAGATGACCGGTTATCCGCCTAATTCACCTGATTAGGTCTTAGTCGCGACAGATTGCACCTGCCGAGCGCCCAGGCAGCCGAGTATTCGGCTAGGCGTCCGCGTTTTTGAACAGGGGCTATTACTAATATCAAGACAATTTTGGAATGAATTCTAGTATATAATTAGTAAGAACGGTGATACATACGTTGTGAACTAAATTATTCAACAATTAGTGATGATATTATATTTTACGAATGAGTCGCCACAAAAATAACACGTTTGAAATGGTATTATAAGATGTCTTGAATTTTACAATATATAAAAATAAGTCATAATACAAATTATAGCTGTACGTTTTTATTTGTTATATTGCCTAAACAGGAATACTCATTTTCGTCGAATATGTTTGGATCGGGCTTCCTATTAACCTTAGCGTGTATGCACGTTACAAAACTAGATTCAACCCTAATTAAAGACATTATTCTTTAATTATGCATATATTAATTAGTCTCTTTAAGTTTTCTAAGATATATACTTATACAGTTATACTCTAGCGTATTTTGTTTGTAATTTGTAAATTACGTTAAACGTCAATTTAGCATTTGTGAATATTCCTGATTTTGGCTTCAAAAACAAATTTATGGATCGAAGATTTGGCGTTAGTTTAAACATAACCTCGTCAAGGGCAAAACCGAAAGTAGAAAACAAACATCGCACTCCTACGTTATCAATTTCCACTAAGAAGTCTTACAACGTAGTGGGCTTTAAAATAAAGCCAAAAATACAAATAATGGGAAAATCGTATCTTTCTTTAGGTTTTTGGGAAAGAAAATGAGAAAATAAGAATAGGTTGTATCACTAATATCTAATTGTCTTAATAACTTAATGACATTGCAACAAAAGCGGAAGAAAACAGTGTTACTACAGAAATTTGAATTTGAGTAGTGAATGATCGTACTAACACAAAAACTAAAACTGATAACATTTTGTATTACGAGCCGTAATCGTTATAACAAAATTAAGATTAATAAATAAATTCCCTAATTAAAACTGATATTCGGACAAAAGAAAAAGAAAAAAAGGAAAGAAATTAAAAGACTTTGAAGAGCGCACTTAATGCGCAGTATGTCCTCTTGCCAGCTTGTTGCACCGGCCTCCGTCTCCTCACCTTCCCCC